TGAATAAAACACTGAAGACCTTAAAGCCCCAAAACTCCATAAATGATCCGTTTATACAAAGAAAAGCAGCTGAACCTGAGAACTGTGTTCATTTCCACCCAACAGAACAAATGATGGAAGAATTCATGAGATGTGTTGGTTTCAGTGACTCTCGGTCTGTTTGTGACTGAATGAAGCTTCACGTCTTCACCGTCCAGGCTGCTGGGATTCAGGCGTAAACATCAGGACGTCCTCGTGTCTCGGATCAGAACAGAAGAGCCGCATTTAGCCCAGCGTTTCATTATTCATGGGCCGGACTCGGAGCCGACACCTGACCCGCGGGTTCTCTGAACATCCAGGAGCTGCTGCAGCCTGAACTCACGCCGCCGCCGCCGACCCGGTTTCATCGATTCATCACGGAGGAAACGACCTGCAGCCTCCTGAACACGAGCTGCTGTTCAGACTATAACGATAAGAGCTCGCTGCTTTTACACCACGTTCACATGATCATGCGTCTGCTGCTGGTTTCTCATTTCATCACCAACGGCCCGGTTTAAACACGACACACAGAATAAAACAAGCCGACGGTTTGTTTGTGCACAAAGATGCTCGACAGTGGATCTAATGTGAGTCTTTAACCATCTAGTTTGTGTTACGGTGGACGTATACGATCAGAACTTCATGATGTAATGAAGGGGTTCAAACTTAGAAAGCACACTTAAAAATATCTGAAAATCTAAAAAATGTCACGATGGTCACATGAGGGTTAAACGTGTGTGGATATTCACCAAAAAAGCAACAAAAACATACAAAAAACGAGTAAAATCAGACAAAAAAAGACGCAAAAGACACTAAATAATGACCATTAAGAGAAAAAAATAGGACTAAAGTGAGACAAAACATGACAAACTATAACAAAACTGACCTATAAGACACTAAACAAGCAAAATATGACTAATATGAGGCGACAAATGACCTAAAGACACTAAATGACCACAAAGAGACTAAACGTGACCGTAAAGATTTTTTTTTTAAAACTGCCTGAGGAGAACATTTTTGAGGTATTTTGGTGTTTTTAACATTTTTATGACTAAACTTAAACAAAAAAAATGTCCCAAATAAAACAAAACCAAACGCAAAGACACACAAAATAAGAAAAATGAGTAAAAAGACGTCGAAAACGACTAAAATCAGACTCGAAATGTCCAAAATGTGCCAGAAAACGACTGAAATGGAACAAAAAACTACGAGTTACTATATTGTATCTTTTATTTATCATACTACGATTCCTTTTATTTTATTTTATTGTACTAGAACACTGCATGCCCCTGTGTTCCCTTCTTGGAAGCTGCTGGAACTGTAAATTTCTCTTGGAGATGAATAAAGTATCTATCTATCTATCTATCTATCTATCTAAAAGCAACCACCAACAGAACCGAAACCAGAACCGAAACGTTCCAGATGTGACACAAAACAAACAAAAGCAAGAATAAAAAGACACGAAAGAGACACAAAATGAGTTTAAAAACATTGACTAAACATGTAGAGAAGGTGAGTTTGTCGCTGTGAGTGTTTCTCGGTGAGGCAGCAGGTCGACGAAGCTCCGCCTGAGCTGCTGAACAGCCTCCCTGTGTTTCTGACACACAGCATGAATGTGAAGCTTGTTGGGCAGGAAACCAGCAAACACACCCTGCAGCTCTCTGATGAATGGATGGATGGATGGATGAGGAGCTTCACCCTCTCACCGCCTCACCTCCAACACGTCTCCGTTCTCTGAAGCCGAGCCTCAACGTTTACATCCGTTAGAAGTCATTTAGCTCCATAACCGATAATCAGCCCGGACACGACTCTCCGCCGCTAACAGCTCTGTCCTCACACAAAACCACAGAAACTCAACAAAAACAACCACAAAGAGAAGCAGAATGACCAGAAAACTAACAACATGCAACAAAAACAACCAAAAACACCACAAAACTAAAAACCTGAGACGCTTAACGACCAACATAAAAACAGCCACAGAGCCAAACTACACTAACAACACCTGAAAAACTACACAAAGACAGTCGAGACAACATCCAAAATCACCACAAAGAGACACAAAACCAACAGTATGCAACTACAATGGAGCAAAAACAATCACAAAACACCACAAAACTGCCACCAGCAGACACAAAATGTCTCAAATTAAACAAAAACGACCACAAAGAGACACAAAATCAAAAACATGAGACACAAAATGACCAAAATGGGATCAAAAAAACGACCACAAATCAAACAAAGCTAAAAACACCAGACATCACATGACTAAAACTAAACAAAGACAACCACAAAGAGACACAAAATGACCAGAAAGCTAACAACATGCAACAAAAAAACTACTACAATGGAGCAAAAACAACCACAAAACACCACAAAATGACCACAAACGGACACAAAACTCACAACGTGAGACGTTAAACGACCAACATGGGATAAAAAAACCCACAAAGAGACACAAAACTCAAACAAAGAGACACAAAACCATCGACAGCAGACAGAAAATGTGACAAAAAAACAACGTTCAAAATTAAACAAAAACCACAAAAAGATTAAAAATTAACAAAACAGGAAAAATTACACAAAAACCTGCAACAATATTATTATTGTTTTATTATTATTATTATTATTATTATTATTATTATTATTATTAATGACATGATTAATATTTTTTTATTATTTAGAGAAGTCGTCGATGTTTTTGTAAATTTTTTTTCTTTATTTTTTTCTGTAATTTCTGCGTCTATATTTTTTTCCAGATATTTTCTAATTATTTCATCGATCCTATCAAAGGTAAGATTTTATTTATTTATTCATATTTTTTTAAATATTTTATTTGTTTGTTTTTTAAAACTTTTTGCAGAAGCACACGTTTGTCCGTCGTGGTTCTGAACGGACCTCTGAAGCAGCCTCAGATTCTAAATCCTGCTTCAGACGTTTCCTCGTCTCGGACCGGAGAGGAAACGAGACGACAGCAGAGATGGAGAGATTCTCCAAACATTTCCTGCCACAGAAACCAGCAGCAGAGACGGAACCGACACCAGACGTCATCAGAGAAGCTCTCCGAGGAGACAAAGAATTAAATATTAAACATCTGGGTTTAAAATCAGAACCACCCGGAAAACAAAACTCAACCAGGTTCATTTTATAAGAACCGAGTTCTGACCCAAACACCAGAGAAAAGTCCAAAATGTTAGTTTAGTCAAAAAGATGAGACAAGAAGTCGAACCCACGACAGAACCGTGAAAGCTTTGAGTCCAAAAGTCTGGATGACTGTTTAAAAAGTTCTAGAGTTCTAAGGTGGAGCTTTACGGAGTCACGATGAGCCGCATCAGGATCTCCGTTTAGGGGTTTCTTCACAACGTCACCGTTCTGGGACATAAAGTCCAAACTCGGCCCGTTTTTATCTACAATTAAAGGTTCAGAGCAAAGTTCTGATGAAACAGGCTGTTTGTGACTTCAGAACCAGAACCGTGGTTCAGTTCAGCAGAATCTGAGCTCAGACATAAAAGCTGCTGAAGAACCTGGAACCGCCATCAAACCCCATCTGGACCCAAAAACCACGTTCAGCTCACCAACCGGACCCAGATTAACGAGCAGACGAGAACCGAGTCGGGTTTATTCTGAAGCTTGAGCGGACCGGACCGGAGATCAGTTTGACGCCTGAAGGACTTTCCAGGACATCCTGCTGTTTCCAGGTTCTTCAGAACCACGTGGAACCTTTAAAGTTCTAAAGTTAGAAGATGTACCGGTCTGCAGCAGAACCGCACGTTCTTTGTTTTCATTTCGTCTCGGTTGAGGAACAGATTCTTCATCTCAGCGGGGAACCGGGCCACCAGAAGGCCAACGATCAGCCCAAGAGAACGCCAGGATAAGGTCCAGCAGAGTGGAACCGCCAGAGATGGACAGACGGACCAACTGGAACCCGGCCAGACCGACTGGAACCCGGCCAGACTGTAAGAGACTCGGGTCGGTTACAGACTCAGCAGGTTCCTCTGACAGCAGCTGCAGCAGCTTCTGTTCTGCTGCTGGCGGGCAGAACCGAACCAGCAGACCACAGAACCAACGGATCAGAACCCGCGGATCAGGAGGATAAAAGCTGAGGTCCAACGCAGACAAACTCAAAAACACACACATCAAGGACAAACGTTCTACACAACAGAACCGGCAGAACCAAAGCACGAGAGGACAGAACCTGCAGAACTACACAGTCACACAGAACAACTGCCGGACAGAACCAGCGGAACCAACAACTGAGGAACAGAACCTGCAGAACAAAACAACTACTGATCAAGTCCAAACACAGAACAACACAAAGAACCTGCAGAACCACACAGTTATAGAACCGAACCTGCAGAATCAAACAACTAGAGAACAGAACCTGAACGGCTGCAGGACAGAACCTTAAGAACAAAACAGTCGTGCATGAAAATCAGCACCACAGAACAGAACCTGCGGAACAAACCAGAACTGTGCAGCAGAACCAACTGAAACAATATGAGCCAAACAGGAGAACTGATAGAACCACAGGAGGTAACGAGGTTCTGCGTGGGTCAGAACAGAACCCAGTGGAACCGAAGGTGCTGCTTCACGGATCCACATCGATGAAAAGGCCCAGAACGACCCTGCAGGAGGGTTCTGAACCGTCTGGCAACCCGGTGCTCATGTGGGTTCCGTCAGCCCGTCATTAATGTGAATAAAAACCAGAACATGAAGTGGTACCGGCTGTAGAACCCAGAACCTGCTCACGGTTCTGCTGCTCGTGTGCTGATGGGTCTGATGGTCTCGTGCAGCTGCTCCATTCAGAACTCCGTCTCAAGAACCTTCCATTTTAACCCGAACGCGTCGGTTCTGCTGGTCTCAACCTGTCGAACCGGTTCGTTGTTCATCAGCTGGTTTTAACCGGTTCTTGTGTTTTTCCGGTTCAACTTAACGTCGTGTCTAAATGTTCCGTCCAAAGGCGGATGTTCTGCAGCAGGACTCACCTGCCGGCAAACGGAGCATCCGAATGCGGAAATGAGGCGGCGGAGGGCGGCGGGACGGAGCCGCCGGCGTCGGTCCGAGCGGGTTGCGGTAAAATCCAACCGGAGAGATTCTGATAAAAGCCGACGGACCGGAAAGAGTCCCGGTGAGCGGCGGTGAAACCGTCCGGAGGCTGCGGGGGGAGAAGGACGACGCTCCGGCCTCCACCGACAGACCGACCGACCGACACACCGAGCAGCAGCGCCGGGGTTCGGCCCGACGGGCACCACGGCCCGGTTCCTCTGCGGTCCGGTAGCAAGGTCACAGAACGGCCGTTAGTGGGCCGTTAGTGGGCCGTTAGTCGTCCGTCCGCCGCTGCTGCACATGTTGAGACTGTGAGGCTCGAGCTGCTGAATCATCCACACACACACACACACGTGCACGAGCACTGCGCTTGCACGAGGCACAGCTGACTCTGACGTCACCTGCATGCTGTAAACATAACCCTTTCGTGACCGGAAGCGTGTTGACTTGATTAGTTCAACTTAAACCTGCTGTAGACTCAGTTTTAGTGGGTTTCAGTTAGACCTGGTTTAACTGAGGATTACCAGATTTAACATAAACTTTATCAACACATTTAACTGAAGTTTAACAGGTTTGAACTAAACTTGCTGCAGACCCAGTTTATGACTTACGTTAAACCTGGTTTAACTGAGACCTGCTGCAGACTCAGGTTCATGGAGATTTGCCTTAAACTTGGTTTGTAATTGTAGTTGAAGTTAAGCCTAGTTTGTAATTGGGGCTTAATTTAAACTTTCTGCAGACTCAGTTTAACAGGTTCAAGTTAGACCTGGTTTAACTGAGGTTCATCAGGTTTTACAGAGGTCTAACTAAAACATGGCTTATAGCTGAGCTTTAACTTAAACCTGGTTCAACTGAGGTTTAACATGTTTAATCTAAACCATCCCAGACATTTAACTGAAGTCTAACAAATTAAACTTAAAGACTGACTTTTACAGAGGCCTAACTTAAACCTGGTTTAACTAATGTTTGACAGCTTAAATTTAAACCTGCTGCAGGCCTGTTTTTTATAACTGATGTTTAACTTAAACCTGGTTTAACTGGGGTTTAACTGAAACTTGCTGCAGGCACTGCTTACTGAGGTTTAATTTAAACTTGTATTAATCTGAGGTTTAAGGTTTGGGTTTTTCTACAGCTCACATCACTTTATGAACTTCTCTGATTTCCTGTTTGACTTTAGCTCAGGTCACTTCTTCCCTCTCGTGTGTTTTCCTTCCAGATCCGTGGAGCTGCTCGTCTGCAGGGTTCTGGACTGAAGCTCTCCACGGATCAGTAGAACAACGTCCAGTCTGAGTTCGTCTCTGTGTGAATCCGTCCTCACAGCTTTAACTGGTTTAGAAGAATGTCAAAGATGGAGAAACAAAAATTCCTCTGACGTGCTGTGAGGCTGAAGCCTTCTGTTGTTGTGCTTCCCGGGTCCGTCCACTAGAGGGCAGCCTTCCTCCAGCTCCTGCAGGACTCTCCAGGTCCTGGTGCTTCATCTGAGTCCAGCTTTAGTCACTTTACAAATTCATATTTAGTTTCTCTGTTTATAAGCTTTTGTAGATGATTAAATTTTTTTAATTTGTCTTTATTTGATCGCATTAATTCACAGTTTGTTTGTTTTATTCTTAATTTATCGCTGGTTTATTTTATTTTTTTCACGACACCTACCGACTTTTATTCCAAGTGTTAGTTATAGTTTCACTTCTTCGTGTATTTTTCTCTAAAATGCCTGAAATTAAACGTTAAATGAGAACATTCGTATGTTTCCTTTTTTTCTGTGACAGTGAATGAATTTGATCTTTGTTGATGAAAAAGCTTCTTTAATGTGTGTTTTATCAGATAATCACTGTGATGATGATGATGATGATGATGATGATGATCCAACTGCAGCTCCTCGTTGTTCATGTTCAGAACCGGTCCTCAGCCTTCAACATGATCATTCATACGCTAAAGGGTCACAAACAGAACCAGCTGCAGCAAATGTCCAACCAGACAGTTTTTCATGTTCTCATCGTCATCAGCAGCTGAAGAACGTCTCCGTTTAGAGGACGGTTCTTCATGTGTTCTTTAAAGTGTTCTTCTCAAATCCCAAACTGGAACATGTTGATCTGTCTGAACCCAAAACACAGAACGTGTTCTGATGGACAGAACCAGGAACGTTTCAGACGCTTAAGTTTGACCTGGTTTTAGCTAAAAAAAAGTTTTTATGATAAAGTTCTGAATCAGAATCAGAGCTTTTTGTTGCCAGCTGAGCTCACAGACACCAGGAGTGTGTCGTGATGATGAGTGAAGCTGTGGTGAAGAACAACAAGGAGACAGAACAGAAACTGGGTCTAAGAAATTCTAAATAAAATACATGTAAAGCTACGACGTCAATAAAAAGTGCTGCGACGAGAGACGTGAGGAACGTCAGTCTGTGAAACACAAGCAGCTGCTTGTTGCTCATTTATCAATCAAATCGATCAAAACCTGATCGACGTGGATCAGAACCGAGCCATCGCCCTGACGTGGATCAAAACCGAGCCATCGCCCTGACGTGGATCAAAACCGACCCATCGCCCTGATGTGGATCAGAACCGACCCATCGCCCTGACGTGGATCAGAACCGACCCATCGCCCTGACGTGGATCAGAACCGACCCATCGCCCTGACGTGGATCTGAATGAGGAGCAACCAGGAAGCAGCTAAAAACCAAACTCTGAACCTGAACCTCTGTTTGCTGAAGTTCTTGAAGGTTCCATCTGAGGAACCTTTCCAGGAATCATGTTTGAGGGTTCTTTGAAGGTTCTTTGAGGGTTCTTTGAGGGTTCTTTAAACAACACTTTGCAGAGCGTCTTGTTAAAGCTGATCAGCTCTGAATCAGAGGAACAATCAGCTGATCGAGAATCTAACAGGACCCGATCCTGTAACGACAGAACCTGTGGGTTTAACAGGTTCTATTTGGAACCACGTGGTTCTCCAACAGAGAACGTTCCCACAACGATGGCTAACAAGTTCTAAAAGCGTTTCAACATTTTCATCTAACGTTCAAAGAATGTTTTGAGCATATTTATCGTTTCTAAAAAGGTTCCTCTGAGGTTAAAAGTCATGTGATTCAAAAACGTTCTCCAGATGTTCTGGAGCCTCAGTAATGAACGTTATGGAACGTTACCCGATAAAACATTCCCACAATGTTACATGATAACAAAGAAAGAACGCTCTCGATGCAACATCTGGCAAACGACTGAAGAACATTTATAGAACATCTCTAGAACTTTCTGCTGTCTTCAAGAAGAACATTCTGGGAGCTAAAAGAAAACTTCCAGCTAGAACTCTTTAGAACCTGATCAGTTCTACAAACAGAACCACGTCTGGTTCCGGTCCGAGTCTTCATGTTCCTGAAGGTGGAGAACTTGAGGTTCTGTCTGACTGAAGACAAAGTTTCTCTGAATCCAGAACATCCGAACGGAACACTTCAGGTTCTCTGTCAAACTCTGGTTCTGGTTCTGGTTCTGGTTCTGTCCGCCTGAAATAAAATCAGCTTCAGTGAATCTGAGGATCTGACAAGAATAAACAATAAATAAACCGTAAATAAACAACAAATAAACAATAAACAAGCCATAAATAAGAATAAACAAACAATAAATACGAATAAACAAACAATAAATAAACATAAATAAACAATAAACAGACAGTAGTTAACCGGTACCTTACCGTCCCGGCGGCTCCGTCCTGCCGTCGGGTACCGGACACGTTCCCGGTATTAAAGCGCGGCGCCTCTCAGTCCGCGGCTCACTTCCTCCGCGGCGGCGCAGAGTTCGGAGCTCGGACCGGACGGACGGACGGACGGACGGACGGACGCTGTCCGGTGACTCATGGAGACGCTCCGCCGGCACCGGGAGCAGCAGCCGGTGGTCACGGCGGGCACCGACGGGTCCGGACCGGCCGCCGGCGTCAGCCTGCGCGCGCTGACCGGCTGCGTGCTGTGCGTCCTGATCGTGTCCACGCTGCTCGGGAACACGCTGGTGTGCGCCGCCGTCATCAAGTTCCGCCACCTGCGCTCCAAAGTCACCAACTCGTTCGTCATCTCTCTGGCGGTGTCGGACCTGTTCGTGGCGGTTCTGGTGATGCCGTGGCGCGCGGTGTCGGAGGTGGCGGGGATGTGGCTGTTCGGCCGGTTCTGCGACACCTGGGTCGCCTTCGACATCATGTGCTCCACCGCGTCCATCCTCAACCTGTGCATCATCAGCATGGACCGGTACTGGGCCATCTCCAGCCCGTTCCGCTACGAGCGCAAGATGACGCGCCGGTTCGCCTTCGTGATGATCGCGGTGGCCTGGACCCTGTCGGTTCTGATCTCCTTCATCCCGGTGCAGCTCAACTGGCACCGCGCGGACAACTCGACGGCGCGCAGCCCGGAGGACTGCACCGCCAGCCTGAACCGGACCTACGCCATCTCCTCGTCGCTCATCAGCTTCTACATCCCGGTTCTGATCATGGTCGGCACGTACACGCGCATCTTCCGGATCGCGCAGACCCAGATCAGACGGATCTCGTCCCTGGAGAGAGCCGCGGGGCCCCGTGCGCAGAACCGCCGGCACCGCGCCTCGACGCACGACGAGAGCGCGCTCAAGAGCTCGTTCAAGCGCGAGACCAAGGTTCTGAAGACCCTGTCCATCATCATGGGCGTGTTCGTGTTCTGCTGGCTGCCCTTCTTCGTGCTCAACTGCGTGGTTCCGTTCTGTGAGCCGGACCGGCTCGGGGACGCGCCGTGCGTCAGCGACACCACCTTCAGCATCTTCGTGTGGTTCGGCTGGGCCAACTCGTCCCTGAACCCGGTCATCTACGCCTTCAACGCGGACTTCCGGAAGGCGTTCAGCACCATCCTGGGCTGCAGCCGGTACTGCTCCAGTTCGGCGGTGGAGACGGTGGACTTCAGCAACGAGCTGGTGTCCTACCACCACGACACCACGCTGCAGAGGGACGCCGGCCCGGTACCGGGGCCCGGAGCGCAGAGGCCGGTTCCGCCGCTCCACACCGGAGGAGAACCGGATCCGAACTGTGACCGCGTGTCCGTGGTGTCGGACGGAAACCTGCTGCTTCCCGCCATCCTGCAGTACGAGGCGGAGATCTCTCTGGACCTGCTGCCCTTCAGCCCGTCCGGAACCGCCGACTGCTACGGGATTCCGGGTCAGATCCAGGACATGTGAGAACCGTGCACAGCGACAGAACTCAACTTTATCGGAACCGGAGTGTGGTCGTGATTCTGCAGTTCCGGTAAAAGTTCAGGGAAACTAAACTCTGAGCTCCGAACCACAGATTCGGTTCTAATGGACCGAAACCTGGAAACGTTCACATGTGAAACCTTTAAGCCAGTTTGTCGGCACGCAAACAAGAAAAAGAACAGAACAGAACCGAACCAGTCAGGAGAACTTCTTCTGTTTATGTGCGGATCATGTTCAACACGAAATACACTGTAAAAAATAAAACATGAAGGTTTGGGGAAACAAAAACAGAAATCAGGTCAAAGTGGGTCAGAACAGCCACCACGTGTGTATATTTATATATTTATCGGCTGTAATTATGAACTAATTCACTCAGTAATTTAAGATAAGATGAGATGTACCTTTATTTGTCTCAGTGGAGAAATGCACATTTTTCATTTAATTTAATTTAATTTAATTTAATTTAATTTAGTTTAATTTAATTTAATTTAATGAAGCCTGAGTATAAAACTTAATGGAAGCTGACAGACCATCACCTCAGGATCAACAGAAACGTATCAGAACCTGTATCACGCTGAATATTCTGTAATTTAACAGGATAAAAGTCCATAAACTGGAGTAAAGTTCCCATAAAACACTGTAAAAACTGGACAAAGATCTGGTGTCAAAGGAAAACTAACTGTGGACGTTTCTTTGTGGTTAACATGTAAATTCATACGTTTCTTTCAGTGACTTTACGAGCTGGTTTTTGTATTTCAACAAAACATGTAAAAGCTGTGAAATAACAGTAAACTGTTCATAAAAACTGCATTTTTTATTTTTTTATTTTTTTTTACAGTGTAGTTGTTAGATCTGGTGGACATGTTTGAAAAAAGAAGTAAAATCTGGTCACGTTCACCAACAGAATGAAGCTTTTTCAAATCAGAATTTTTTTTATTTTTTTAAAAGAAACTTACAATTTACACTGTAAAAACAAATCCTGTAAAACATTTTTTTTTTAAAAATAGTGAGAATCTGGCACAATGTTCCCCCCAAAAGCACACGTCTATGAAATAGTTCTAGAAATACAGTCAGAGTGTGTGATGTTATCGTCACACTGTAAGAGAAAAAAATTACTATTAATACAAATATGGATTTTTATCTTTTACAGTTTTGACCCGTTTTTTAAAAACATGTAAATTATTATTTTTTTCTGTTTACATTTTTTTTTCAAGCTGTTATCTGTAATTTAACAAACTGGCGTGGAGGGGTCAAATCATGATTCATCTTTAATGTACATACATTTTTCTTTCAAATTACAGTTAAATTATTGACTTTTTTGTTGATCTAAACACTGTAAAAAACTAGTACTTTTACGTTTTTTTTTACGCTGTATTCCAGATTTGACCAGTCTGTGCGGTTTAGCGGTTTTCAATCACAACAACTCATACAAAACCAATAAATCATCCACGGTTCTGCATTTTCACCGACAGCGTCGAAGCTTCAGAAACGTGAAAATGAGTTTTGAAGATTCTTTTGCGTCGATGGCTGTTTTAGATCTGATCTGATGTGATCAATGTGTAAAAACAACAACAGTGAAACGTCTTGTTTTGGCATTTTAACAGCCAGTGAAGCTCTGACTGACGTGAAGGCTCGTTTCAGACGGTTTTACGGCTTCACTTTAAACATCCAAAACGGTTTCAGGTGGTTTAGAGATGGAAGACGTGTGAACTTTAACCTCCAGCTGCTGCTTGAGTTTAGAGAAACGAGCAAAGCGGTGGTTTTACTGTGGAAGGAAGGTTTTAGGAGAAGAAAGCAGCAGATATTTGTGCTAAGAATGGAAAGAAGAGCAGAAACCCAGACGTCCTGACGAGTGATTTAGTTCAAAAACAGCAATCAGCTTCGTTTGAACGTCTCAGCCGTCTGCTCGCATTCAGGAAGTTAAAATATACGAATAAACACATAAACATGTCAACGCTGTTAAACCTCCTGAAGCAGCAGCAGCTCAGATTCATCCGCTGCACAAAATAGTCCCGGAAAGTTCCGCTCAGTTTGTGTTGTTCATCGTGAAAAAGAATTTAAAGGATTCCTTTTATGTTTTATGACAAACTGATTACAAGGACACGCTGGTGTCTCAACTTAAAACTGGTTCAAATGAGCAAATGTTGGATTTGAGTAACTGACGTTTTTGAAGTCAACCTGGACAGTTTCTACGTCGTCCTCGACAGGTGTTGAGACATGCTGGACAATCTGGAGTCGTGTTTTTAATTCATCTTGAACAGCTTTGAGGTCATTTTAGACCATTTTCAGTCAAATGAAAGAACTTTGGGTCAGTTTGTATAAATTACTGATCATTTTGACAAGTTGACAGGTTTTAACATTTCAGACATTTTTCTGAGTCACTTTGGACTGCTTTGGAGCAATTTCATACATTTTTGTGTCGTCTCAGACCATCTGAGCCATTTCAGGTGATCTTGTACAATATTTTTAGCATTGTTGACAAGTTTCAATTAATTCTTGATTTGATTTCATGACTTTGGACAAACATGAAGTCACTGTGTGTCATAATTTATCGTTATGGATAAAATATATTTCATGAATGTGGAATAATGGAGTCAAGTTCTGTCTAAAATGGATCTCTGGACTAAAGACAAGCCCAAAACAAGTTCAAAACCAAGTCTAAAATAAGACAAAAACCAAGTCCAGAACCCCTCTAAAACCAATATAAAAACCAGTTGGAAACTAAGCTTCAAACAAGTCCAAAACCAGGTCCAAAACCAAGTCCAAACCAAGTCCAAAGCCAGCCTAAAATAAGACCAAAATCGAGCCTCAAGCCAGTCCGAAACAAGTTCAAAACCCAGTCTGAAAGCAGGTCCAAAACCAAGTCACAAATTGGACCAAAACCAGTTTAAAATCAAGCCTAAAACTGGTGCAAAACCAGTTTAAAACCAGCTTATAACAGTCCAAATCCAGGCCCAAAGCTGGTTCCAGAACCATCAGTCCAAAACCCAAATCAGTCCAAAAAAGTTTCTTCAGAATCTGTTTTATTCAGAATCCAGAAACTGTCGAACCAATAAACGAGACGAAACGGGTTTAATCTGCTCGAACAGTTTGTTGTGATGCTGGTACTGATCCGATGATGTTAATTATCAGAACCGAGTTAAACTAAAACACGCTGAGCTGAATCTGTCCAATAAAGACCAACACACTGCAGGTTTATGTTGAACTCTGCATGTGTTTACCGTGAAGTGACCCGTTATTGGTTCAGAGTCGACTGGATGTTGGATTCGCCGGTGGAGGACCTTTAGAACCGGCCCGTTTGATGTGAGTGTTCAGGCTCTCCTCCTGCTTTCATATGTTAAAGACAAACCCAGCATCATTATCGACAATTACACCGTCAGCTTCAGCGTCGAGGCCTCTTCAGGTAATCGCAGCTGTTCTTCCATCACACGAGTGTTTGTCTCCACGTCTCAGCTGAACCCGGTCTGCAGCTTCAGCAGAGGCCCGACCGGAGCGCCGCAGCACCAGAAACATCCTGTCAGAACATTTTAAAAACTGTGAAAATGACAACATCTGTCTGTAAAAGATGAGTATTTCATACTGATTTAAATACAATAAAAAGGTCATTTTATGACCAAACAGTCTAAAAAAATGTTTGTTTCTAATCTGTATTTGTCAAAATACAGTTTTGGTCTTTTTTTGTTTGTTTTATGATCAGCTGGTAAAATCAAGTCTAAAACCAGGTCTTAAACCAAGTCTAAAACCAGGTCTAAACCAGCCTCAAACAGGTCTAACATCAGTCTTAAACCAGGTCTAAAACCAGTTTAAAATAAACACAAAACAAAAAAAATGACCAAAAAAATTAAACCACGAAATGAGACAAATGCGACACCGTCAGACCGTAAACTTGTAACATCTAGAACCAACACCTAGAACCAACA